TGGGGTTGCCCAGAGGTGTTTGATAGTATTTTTTCATAACTAATATTTTGCCATTTATCTATTGTATTTTATTTAATGTATAATCTATGTTTTATTAATTTGTAACCTGTATTATGTTTCTCAGACTTGAGGAAATGTGCCCCATATTTTGTGAGCCCGCAGGCTGCCCCTGTACCCTTCAGAAGGTTGGACTGAGGGATGAGCCCAGTGAAAGGGCTGCCTGGCAGCAGGCAGGGACTAATTAGTTTAATTCCGTTAATGAGAGAGGATTCAGGGTGACCTGGCAGCAGAGTAGCAGTAGGAAGCCTTAGGTTGGTCCCCCTGTGGTGGTGGCCCAGGGTGACTAGGGTATGATCTGAGCAGTGTCAGTGTCTCCCCTGGCCCCAAACCCCACAGGTGAGGGGTCAGTGGTGCCCAGCCTGGTGGGCCTGGATGTACTGGGATCACTGGAGGGTGTATGTGGGTGGGTGTGTGTGCACATATATGTGTGAGCATGTGCAGCAGCTGGGACATTGTGCAGCACTGGGACAGGGGCCACCTCGTCAGGCAAGATCCCACTGGGGGCTCTGCCAGAGACCCTTCATGGGACAGGACAGGTCATCCAGGCTGGGGACACACACCCTGCCATGGCAGAGTCCCACTAGCCTTGGTAGTGGCCCTCAGTGGATCCACGATCCAACTGCTTCACCACCACCACCACCCACCCTGCCCATTTTGGGCAGCATCAGGCCAGCCCAAGATCTCTCCCCCACCTCAGGGACTGATGGCCCCACAAGGTGATGGCTTTGCAAAGTGACAGCCTGGCAAGGCAGAGGCAAGAGCTGGTCACCATCTTAGTCTGAGCCAACTCAGGGTGTGGTGCTCACTTGTCTTCACACGTCAGCACCCACTGGAGACAGTTTTACTTCCCTTTTTTGGGCACCCTTTCAAATTTCTGATTGGGGACTGCAGTGGGTGAGGGGTAAATTTAGCCAGGGGATGCCCCACAGCCACACAGCTGCATGCTGGGGCTGGCTTTGGGGGAAATAGCAGGGGGGGCAGTGCTGGCGTGGCACAGCCTGGGCTCTGAACAGCTTTTCCCCAAGTCTTTCAGAGAAGGCAGCTACGTGAGTGGGGGAAATGTCAGGATGGGTGCAGGAACCACCAGCTGCCCCTTCAGGTACTTGGGGGCTGCACCCCCAGCTCAGGCAGGGCAGAGGCCATGGAGCTTGGCACAACTGCAGGACCAAAGTGAGGGGACTGTGCTGTCCTCCCACGGCCCCCCCAGCAGGTTTGGCTCTGCCCTGCTCCCCCCAGGAGCTATTCTTGGCTGGGCTATAGCTATTCTTGGCCCCTGCTCTTGCTTTTGAGTTTCAGCCCTGCTGCCTTCAGGATCTTGGCTGTTTGTGGGGCCGCAGCTGCAGGGGGGGCAGGAACCTGTCCCCTCTGGCTCTGCCACGTCGCCCAGGTCTCTCCAGGCGAGGTGTTTCATCAGCTCCAGATGCACTCACTCTGATCCTGCCACGTCCTCACAGGGACACCACCTCCCCCTGGCACGAGACAACGGGGCTTGCCTGGCCTGGGGAAATCACCCAGCGATGTGCAATGAAAAAAGCAAACCAGATTTGGTTTTGGGGCAACAAAGCTGGCCAGAGGTCGTCCCATGGAGAGGGACCATCTGGGGACCAAAGCAGAGCTTTACCCTCAAGGCTGGGGGCAGTGGTTTGGAGTGAGGGTTGCAAGAACTCCTGTGGTCTCACACTCTTTTGCCTTCATCTCTGCATCCCTGCCTCTGGTCTTGGCTGTGGGACACCTCCAAGTCCAAGGTGTTTAAACTCCCAGGGTTTATTAAACACCCCCCCTGGAAATCCTTGCTAAGCCCTCACCAGGGAGCCTCAGCCTGGGAGCACAGCTCTCACCAAGTGCAGGACCCCCTGCCTCTCTCTGCAGCTAATTAAAACCTTCCCCAAACATCTCATTTACTAAATTAGGTTTCCCTCATTTTAAAATTACTGGCAAGCTGGGAAAACAAGAAAATAAATGACTGTTGAAATTTCAGTGTAGGAGCTGGCAGAGTGAGAGCAGGAGCTGCAACTGGGGAGAGGAGGGAGGTTTTGGTTCTGCTCAGCACATTTGCTGACAAGGAAACCCCAATGAGGGTGGCTGTGAGAGTGGGGCCAGATTGTTCTTCCCAGGCATTGCTTCCCTCCCGTCCAGAAGATGGATCAGGACCCACATCCATCTCTGATTCCCAGTAGAGGCTCTCCAGCCCTGTTGAAGGCTTGTTATGGGTAAAACTGTGTCTGTGAATCTGCCAAGCTGTGGGCAGCGGGGGAGGATGGGAGCCCAGGGGGGGCCAGGGCCACTGATCTATAATTCATCAGGTTTTTCCTTACCAGTTGTTGCTTACGGAAAAGATTTAGCAAAATCTTTTAATCAATAATTAGTGAGGTTTCCTGCCCCTGGAATCAGAGACGTGCCTGTGCTCTGCCTGCCCAGACCTGAGCCAAAGCTAGAGCCTGGCTCATGGTCCAGAGGGACCTGCTCCAAACTGAGCCCACAGAAAACTGGGGCCCGTGTCCTGCGATCAAGGAATGGGCTTTACCCATGGAATGTCAAGATGTATTTCAAGCCCTGTGGAATGCATTGCCTGGCCACCCTCTCCTTCCAGAGTCCCCCCGCCTCAAAAATTGTGGCATTTCTCAGGATAAAACCTGGCAGCATGGCTGAGATGGAGGCTCCTGTGTTGCCTGCCATTCACTCCAACCTCAGCCACAGCTAAGGGTCTGATTTACCAACTGCTGGGATCATAATTACTGAGGCTTGAACCTTCCAGTGGAAAAGAAGCGAGTGTACTTCCTTATAGGTCTTGGTCCTTGGGGCATTTCTGGCGGGCAGAACCCCAGGCAGTCACTCTCCTAGGTGAAAGCCCTGGCAGCACCACAAGGCTGGGGATGAGATGCTGCAGTCAAGGGGTTGCTAGGGAATAATCCAGCTTGAGAGTGGGAAGGGGCTGAGCAGCAGGGTTGAGGAGCTGCTGCCATCTCTGGGTCCACATTCCCCTGCAGCAAGTTGGGATGGTTGGATGTGGATGGCCACCCTCACCTCCAGGACCTGCTGCCACAGCCCATCAGCCCTCAGGAGCAAGGCTGCCAGCTGTCTGCCCCTGTGAGCTCTGCCTGCTCAGGAAACTATCTTAAAGAAACTTATCTTGAAACACAGTGGGACAGATCCCTCCATCATCCACCCTTCCTTCCTTTCCCTGGCTCTGATGCAGGCTGAGCATCCTGCTGCTGACTCCTTCCTTGGAGCCAGGGGTCTGTCATGAGGCCTGAGCATTGGTTTGCTCTGTAGTGATAAGAATTCCTGGTAGAACCCTGAACCTGTCACCCTACACATGGGAAGGGACACTGTGACTGCCTCCATCAGCCCAGTCCCCTGTGCAGGGTGATGGGGAGGGGGTTTTACCATACATAAGGGACTGTGCCATGACAAACTCTCCCTTGCCTGTCTGGGGAGGAGGATAAAGTCAGGATAAAGCCTCATTAATTTGGGGGTCTTGGTGGATAAAAAGCTGGACATGACCTGGTAATGTGCACCTGTAGCTCAGAAAGCCAACTGTGCCCTGGGTTGCACCAAAAGCAGTGTGGGCAGCAGGTCAAGGAGGGGCATTCTGTCCCTGTACATCGCTTTGGTGAGACCCCACCTGGAGTACTTCATCCAGCTCTGGAGACCCCTGCATAAAAAGGACATGGACCTGCTTGGGCTGATCCAGAGGAGACCACAAAGACCTCAAGAGTACTGGAACACTTCTGCTGTGAGGAAAGGCTGAGAGAGTTGGAACTGTTCAGCCTGGAGAGAGAAGGCTCCAGGAAGACTTTTTAGCAGCTTTCCAGTAGTAGTTGAAGGGAACTTATAAGAAAGATGGGAACAGACTTTTTATCAGGCTCTGATACAATAGGACAAGGGGTAATGTTTCTTATTAAAGAAGGATTGATTTAGGCCAGATGAATTATTGTGAGAGGGGTAAGGTGCTGTCACAGATTGTCCAAGGAACCTATGGATGTCCCATCCCTGGAAACGTTCAAAGTCAGGATGGAAGGGGTCCCTGAGCAACCTGATCTGGTTGAGGATGTCCCTGCTCATTCCAGGGGGTTGGACTGGATGATTTTTTAAGGTCCCTTCCAACTCAAACTATTTTACTGTTCTATGATTTTGTGTCCTCAGAAGGCACCTGCAGGGGCATGTGCCCACCCAAAACCTGGTGGGGTGAGGTATGGCACTGGCACAGCTTGGGGAGGAGGATGTGGTGGGGCCATCCCCTCTTTCCGAAGAGGCTGGTGACAATTGCACACAACGTGGCTGGGCACTCCCACCAGCTGTCCCTGGGGTATCTCCTAGCTGCTCTGATGGGGTGACAGCAGCAGAGCACCGGCACTCTCAGCGTTAGCATGGCCGTCAACCCCTCAATGTGCTGCAGGACCACAGGAAAACTTCCCCAGGGCTGGGCTGGGGAAAGGGTGCATGGCATGCAGGAACCCATGTTACTGTGGCATAGGGTGCAAGGGACAGACTGTTGCATGTGTTTGGTGGCTACACCGGCACCCCCGTTCTGGGAAGTGCAGGGGTGACTGAGGAAATGGGGGCAGAGCCAGGGTTGGCAGCAAAGGGACAGCCCTGTGCCCCCACCACGGGCCACGTGTTCCTGCAAGGCACCCAGAGGCCAGTGGTCAAACAATAAAGATGGCACAGCCAGGGACGTGTGCCTGATGATGGCATGGGGGTTTAGGGCAGGCTATGCCTCTGGCTGCTCATCCCTTGGTCTTGACAGAGCCAGGGGGGCTCATTGGGGTCCCAGGGTTGAGGAGAAGCTGCACAGAGCCCCCACAATATGTGTGTGTGTACGCACGTGTGTGTTCCCATCCCACCCTCCATACTGGTGGCACTGGGCTGACCCCAGCCCGTGCGTGGGGAGCGGGCGCGTTGGAAGGACACAGAGACAGGGATGCTGAGCCAGCGCTAGTTCAGTGTCAGTTTTTATTTGTCTGACACTCAGAGTGTGGGGACAGGAGTAGGGGACAGGGAAGAGGGGAGTGAGATGTGCGGCTGGGGGGAGCCGCTGTCCCCAGAAGTGGGGAGGAGTGAGCGAGCCAGCAAAGGGCCGGCGGGTGCAAGGAGGTCCCAGTGGGGTTAGGGATACTCGGATCTGTTCAACGTCTTCACCACAATGCCAGCCTCGTGCTTGGCCTTGCAGGAGACAGAATCGTAACTTTGCCAGTCTCTGGCTTCCAGTGTCAGGTAGCTTCTGCCCTTGTACCGGTTGTTGCTCTGCCGCTGGGGCAGAACGGTCTCCACATTGTTTTTGAGGACGGTACCGTCAGCCAACCATGCCACTTCCACTCGGCTGGGGTAGAAGTTCTCCAGCAGACACACCAGGGTGGCTGTGTTCTTCTTTGCGATCTCATCGGCAGACGGCGGGAAGAGGTGCATGGTGGGAGAGACCACAGGCTGGCCTGCGAGGGAAGAGTGAGGTGTGGGGTCAGAGAGGGCCCTGTGCCCCAACACAGCCCCTGCCTGCCCAGCTGGCACTACCCAGAAACTCCCTGCTTCCCCCACAGCCAAGAGCTTACCACTTATAACTTCAATGTATTTAGATCTGGGAAATCTAAATCTAAATCTGAATCTAAATCTATCTATATATTTATCTTTGTATATATAATAGATATAATTTTTATATATAAAATATGTGTGTATATAGGTGTGTAATGCACCACACATACATCTATGTACATCCCATATCTACTTGTATATATGGTTTATATACACTATTTGTACATATTTGTGCATATACACAGTACATATTACAGATATATACAGCTAATTCACATAATATAGATCACATCTATAAAGTATACAATATACTTTCATATGTAGTACATATCATTACATGAATATATGTATAATTCTATAAAATGCATATGGCAAATATTTATGCATTTATGCATTTCATATATGTAATATATTTTATATTATATCATTAATATATATAATTAATAAATACTATAATATTCATAGCTAAATCTCTAGTTATTTGCCTCAAACCCATTTCTTTACTTTTGCAAGGCAATTTGTTTAAAAAAAAATTCACAGACAAACCACCCTGTTTTCTGCCCAGTTCTACTTTCAGACAATTTCAGACTCACCAAAGGAAAAACACAAGTAAGAATGACACAAAGAAAGATGGAGAAAAAATGTTTGGCCTTTCTGAGGTGGTTCTGCTGCCTCCTCCAATGCACAGTGTCTCTATCTCTATTTCTCTTTCTATCTATCTCTATCTCTATTAAAAAACCAAGATGACTTCAGCATTAAAAAATTTCTGCTTAAAAATGGTCAAAGAACGATTTTTTTCGGTCTTAGTCCCCATTAATTTGGTTCAAATTGGGATTTTTGACCACAGGAAAAACCGCGAAGAAATCGGTAGCTCACCTTTGACAGTCACCATGGTCCCGGACCCAAATATAGGAGCACTGCTGCTGTCCCAGCCACCACAGTAATAGACAGCCTCGTCCTCGGCTTGGACCCCAGTGATGGTTAATATGCCGTCGGAGCCAGACTTGGATCCGGAGAATCGCGAAGGGATGCCCGGGGGTCTCTTGTCATTCCAGTAGATCACAGTGACCGGGGCACTGCCAGGGACCTTCTGCTGGTACCAGCCATAGTAGTTGTTGCTACTCCCAGAGCAGGTGATCTTGACGGTGTCTCCCACCTTGTGAGACAATGAGGCTGGCTGAGTCAGCGCTGCCAGGGAACCTGAAATCGGAGAGGAGAGAGAGGGTCAGTCAGAGCCCCAGGATCACAGTCCCTGGGCAGAGGGATGTGCCCAAAGTCCCCATCCAGGCACAGCACGTCCGCCCAGGCACCTGAGGTGTGGGCGAGCAGCGCGAGGAGGAGAGGCACCCAGGCCATGGTGTGATCCCACCAGCTCCGCGTCCCCACGATGATGGGGCTGTGCCGTGGACCCTGACTCCCTTTTAAGCCCCTACTGCGCCAGGACACGGCCCCTCCATGCAAATCTGACGCTTCGCTCACAGCCGGATCTTGCCCGCGCCTCTCTCCTCGCCTCCCTCCCCGCTCCACGCCCAGCCCCACCACTGCAGATGCAGCAGGACTTGTCCATGGGCACACAGTGGAGACACCTCCCAGCTCTGAGCCAAAATTCACTCTCGCAGATCCCTTGTTCCCAGCTCAGGCTGAGTGCCTGCAGGATCAAGGGCTAAAGGGTGAAGGATGTTGCACTTGGCTTTTGGTGTATAAGACAAAGGAGACGTATTAATGTTGTTAAAGTGAACATGCTTTCCAAATGTCTTTGTAACTCTTTGTATAAACTCACCTTCTTCCCAAGGTTCCTCAGTGTTACCTATACCTTTGGAATGTCTAAGAGATAACTGAGAGTTTATCTATTGGTTGTTAACCCGTTATTGTCATTGGCTAGTTGTAAAACCTCCTGAATTCCCAGTGGTCACTTTGTAATCCCCCCATGAGCTATTTAAGTCGTTAATTACCCAGAACAATAAACTCTCTCTGCCTTCTCTCCCTGCTGTTGTTCATGTCCTGGGGTCTCTGTGAGAACCATGGGACACCATGTGGTGGGGGAGAGGGGGAGGGAGCACGCCCCCCTCCTGGACTAGAGGTAAAAGGAAAAGCGTCTAGCCTGGGGTCCCCCTCCTTGTCCACCCTCAATGTTCGTCACATGGCGCCCAACGGTTGGGCATGGTTGACCTCTGTGAAGAGGAGGCAGCTTCAGCATGGAAGATGTTGGGATATTCTGCGTTGGGTGAATGCCTGGAATTTCAGCATTCTGGATGTGACAAACTCAGAGGTTTGTGGGACATCCGTCAACCTGATTTCACATCGGAGAAGGTAGGAGCAAATTCCAGCAGCGTCCTTTCCCCTCTGACCCTGAAACTAATGCAAGCATGTGCTCACGTGCCTCTTTAAGAAAGAAAAGGAAGCTTAAAAAACATATTGATTTCCATCGGCAAGTCATTTAAAAAGACTGCTTTAAAAACTAAAAAAAAAAAAATAATTCCGTTCCAACAAAGCAACTCAGACAATGCCGGCATTGGTGAAGAACCAGTTTAACCTGTTAGAAACATCTCCACAAACAGTTCCCCTCGCTAAACAACTCCGTGAAAGCTGCATCATTCATCCAGCCGCCCCAGGGCCATCCTCCCGTGCCAGAGTTTGTTTAACCAGGCCGTCCTGGGACCAAGATAAGAAGTCAGTGCCAAGCCCTCCCCTTAGAACCGCGCGTCCACCAGGTGACTACCCCCAGTGCCACATGGCCGGATGATCCCCCCCACACCACTCCACCTGGCCAAGGTTTTCTACTGTGGCCACAGAGCTGCACTGCTGGCAAAGCACCTCCCCCTGTCCCCCGTGCTGAAAGCCGCTGAAAGAACACTCTGCCTTGTGCCACGTGGCAGGAGAAAGAGCAGGCCCCGCCAGAGAATGCCCCTCTCCACATCCCGTGCACCAAAAAAGTGGCTGAAAGAGTGTTGAAACAGAAAAGCAGCATTCCTTTCACCAGAACACAGACATCGGTAAATTCCAGCTGCCAAAGTGACTCTAATGAAATACTTTTAACTGCAGTATGTGTTGTTGTGTTCAGCAGTAAGTGAAACAGAATGAAAACGGTTTAAATTAGATGAAAGAGTTTTGCAAATACAAACCTGTGTAAGTGATATCAAATGCCTCTGATAAAAGAGGGCTGTCAGCGGGGTCACTTTGTAATCCCCCCAAGAGCTATTTAAGTTGTTACCCAAAACAATAAACTCTCTCTGCCTCGCTCCCTGCTGCTGCTCGTGTCCTGGGGTCCCCCTCCCTGTCCACCCTCAACGTTTGTCAGAGGGAGAGGTGGACATTTGAGACAGAGGGGACAGAAGCCACCACAGGTCCCAGTGATGTGGTTGGGACAATGTGACATCTCCAGCACTATCCACTTTTGGTATTTTTGCCTCCCATGTGTGTCCCAGGGCCATAAAGTACTCCCTTGCACTACTGCTTTTCTGCTCTGGCTCTCACACTCCTTTCCTGCCAACCCAGATCCACCACTCCAGATCTTTGACTTCCCATGCATCCCCTCCCCAGAAGAATAGGAGAGGTCCAGCACCAATCTCCTCGGTCCAGCAATGCCTCCCTGTCCCTGAACTGGTCACAATCCCAATGGGTTGGTGCTTGGCAGAGGCAGCCAGAGCTGGGGTAGTCCCTGGCCAGCCCTGCTCCTACTCAGGGCACAATGATCACAGGTGTTGTTGGTGGCCCCAGCCCAGACCAAGAGTGGCTGCACCCACGGGAAATTCCACCTGCCCCATGACCCTCCCTGTCCTGACTATGCTGGACCCAGTGCCTGGAGCATCGGGATCCTGGCTGGCATGGCCAGGGCAAGGCTGCAGGGCTGTCTCCCTGCGGGCAGCGCAGAGGGGACCTGCTGGAGCAGAGCACGTGCCCCACAGCAGGAACCTCCTCACGGCCACACGTGCTGCTCCTGCTCTGCGTTCAAGCTGTAGCAGCAGCAGCAGCACTCGAGGGACCCTGGGGCAACAGTGGGCTTGTGTCTCTCTTTCTCCTTGGTGGGAGTTGCCATGACTCTGATCAGCACTGGTGTGCCAGCCAGAACACTGAGAGGCAGCCTCCTGCTCCTCTTCCCAAGTGCTTTAGATGCCCTGCAAAAATGACAGAGGATGGGCACAGACCTGGTGCTGTAAGGGATGTCTGAGGTGGGACATTGGGCACAGCCACCTGCAGCACAGGGCAGTAAGGACAGGGTCATGGTGGGGACAGGGTTGCTGAGAGGTCATGCCAGCATTTCTTTGTTGAGGGTGTGGTCAAACACTCAACAGGCTTTCTGGAGAGCTGGATTGTATCCCCAGGCTGCGTGTGTTGACAATGCCCTTCATTGTAGTCAGCCCTGCAGTGGCCAGGCAGTTGGATGATGTGATGACTGAAAGGCTCTTCCACCTGAAATAGTTTAATCAGCTCTTTCTTATGTGCTCTCCTCCATAAATAGCAAGGGAAGGGCTCTACTGGATGGAGTTGGGACACCAGGCACAGCCACATTAGCACAGGGCAGCAAGGGCAGAGTCATGCCAGGGGTCTGCCCCACCATCAAAGGGGGACAGCAGAGATTTCAAACTGGCCCCTGCATGGCCAGAGGGCTTTTTATCACTTCCCTTTTTTCTCCAAGTCACTGTGGCAACATTATTGCTGCAGATTTTGTAGATATCATAGTAACAGACAGCCTGTCGTGGTTTTGCCCAACCGGCCAGCCCCTGGTGCTGAAAATGGTTTTATCCAGGTGAATTTCCGGACAAGAAGCCAATTAAAACTCTCAGTAATGCCTTTGTTAATTACATCTTTAAGAAAACGAACGAGAAGGTGGATTACGCAGTTAAAATTAGGCAGCCATGTAGGGAGTAGTGTCAGGCCCCAGGTGGGGGGGCCAGGCCCTCTCCTTCCCTGGCTTGGGCCCGGGGGCAGGTGTGGCACTGAAGCTTCCCTTCTCTCTTGTAAGAGAGTGAAGGAAAAAAAAAGTTTAAAAGACTGACTGCTTGGACGAGAAACACTGTAGAAGAATTCCAGCAAAGAGATAACAAAGTGTCCAAGGTCAAAGCTGGCAGCTGAAGCTGCAACAGGAAAGAGAAGTGCGAAGGGGGGGGGGCTTGCTTCTTCCCCCTTTCGCTCTCTCCCTTCAGCAGGGTAAAGACTGAAAGGTAAATCCCTGCCACCTATAGAAGTTTGTTGGGGTGAGGAGACCCCTGTGCTGCTCGTGGAAGAGCCTGCACTGGAGTAAGTTGATGCATAAAGAAACCGAGGCTTCATAAGAGACCTGAGGTGAGGCAAAGTCCTGTTGAAGACTTTGTGATCCTAAGGGAAACCTATGCTGGAGCGAAACGACCCAGGTGGGATGTTGGGATCCGAGTGTGGAATCCATGCTAGACTATGCCAGAAAAGTCTATCAAAAACTGTTCTCCCGTAGGATGGGACCTCCACAGGGAAGCAGGGGTGGACTCATGAGCCATTATTCCCTGTAATCCTGTGGAAGAAGATCCATGGTAAGCAAGTGTCCCCTTATAAGACTATGGAAGAAAAAGCCTTCAGGACTTGGGTAAACCTCAGCCTCTGGTCTTAGCCCAGGAGAGGGATAAGCCCAGCCCTGGAGGCCAACACAGAGAAGGAGAAAGAGTTCCAGCTGCGACGAGAGTGCTGCAGAGTTACTGGAGAGAAAGAGCTGGAACTCTGACAATGGAAAAAACCCCTGTTTCTCCTCCTTGAACTGATATAAAAGAGGGAAGAGTATCTCTGTAAATGTATAATACCTTTTCTTTAAGTAGAAATTATTATAAATGTAGTTCTTTAGTTTTAACTTGCTAGTAATGTTCATATTATTTTCCTAAATCCAGTCTCTTTTGTCTGCATAAACCTTCTCTCAAATAATAGTAATTGTGTGGAGAGTGTGAAAGCAAATTGACCCAAAACAAAACCACGACACAACCCTTTCCTTAGGTTGGACCCCAGTGATGGTTCATGTGCTCATGGAGACGGATGTGGATGAGAGAATGGCAAAGGGATGTCCGAGGGTCCCTGGGTGTTCTCACAGTTCACACTGACAGATGGAGGCACTGCCAGAAACCTTCTCCTGGGACCAGCCATGGTACCAGCCAACCCTGGAACACATAATCTTAAAAGTTTGTCCCAGGATCGCTGACACCAAGGAGAGATGACCCAACACTGTCTGGACCAAGCAACCTGAAGAGGAAAAAGGGAGAAAAAGAGTGTCAGCCACTGTTCCTGGAGCACACAGCCCTCCCTGGTCAGGGGAACAGTGATGGGACAATTCTGCCAGCAGCTACACAGATTGGACATGCTGGGCCATGACAGAGCTGCTGGGAGGTCATAACTTCCTCAAGTGTCAAGGGATGGGAACAGTCCTG